TATTCTCTATTTAGCCTGGTGATATCTATAGTAGTTTGCGGGGGTGACGATGTGTAATATACCTTGATTCTAATTCTTTTGATACTGATTCTGGCTCCTTATGAAAACATTTCCAAAAAAAAAAAGAAATTCAAAAATAATACACATCAAGAGAATTCCATTTCATTCTTTTCAGAGAATATCTGGCACACTAAGAATAGGAAAAGCCAAGGCTCCTGAATCCAGTTGATATAATAGTCACTTTCAAAAAACCTGAGGGGAAAAAAAGGAGTGAAATGTGCCTCAGCCCACTGACAGACAAGTGGAAGGCAAGTGATTGAAATGAAAGCTAGTAATACACTGGCCTAACAGATTACTGCCTTATTCTTTTCTGTGGTGTTGCTGGGGACTGAACCCAGGGCTCTGGCCATGACAGACAAATCTACTACACACATACATCCCCAGCCATTTTACCACTAGGAACCAATTCTTCTGAACTATCTCCTGTACTGTGGCTGATTTTAATGTCGAAGCCTGCCATGATTGAGACAGACTCATAAAATCTAGCTTGCTGGGGCTGGAGAGATGGCTCAGTGGTTAAGAGCATTGCCTGCTCTTCCAAAGGTCCTGAGTTCAATTCCCAGCAACCACATGGTGGCTCACAACCATCTGTAATGGGGTCTGGTACCCTCTTCTGGCCTGCAGGCATACAGACAGAACATTGTATACATAATAAATAAATGAATATTTAAAAAAAATCTAGCTTGCTTTCATCTCCTGAATAAATGCTGAGATTAAGTATTAGATTACTGTACCAATACATGCACTAAGACCATTTTTAATTCATTTTTCTTTTTGGGGGGAAGGGTGGTTCTAGACAGGGTTTCTCTGTGTAGCCTTGGCTGCCCTAGAACTCAATCTGTAGATCAGGCTGGTCTCAAACTCAGAAATCCACCTGCCTCTGCACCACCACTGCCCAGCTTATTAATTTTTCTTAAATCTGAGATGTGATTATAGTATCTAACTCAAGTTAGTGAATGATAGAAGGCTTAGAAGTGGCAGAGTATCATGCAAGTGTTGGCTGTTATTATGTTAATGATTCTCCAAACTATAAGTGTTATTTGACAGATCAACCATATTAAAATCATTACGGAAAAAACATCTAGGGACTACGGTACAGGCGACAGGACTGCTACTGTCCTTGTTTGTGAAACTCTTTCCCCTTTGCAAAGCTCTTCACTGTTCGTTCTTCCTGTCTGAGCAGTGAACCCAAGTCCTGCAGACCACAGGTTTCCTCCATGCGCTGAACACTAATCCGCCTCACCAAGGAGTTTAAGGGACATAGTCCTTGATTCGGATTTAAGAAAGCCTTTAAAATTAAATGGCACTATGCCTCTGAACAACGGAATACACTCTTAGCTGGTTTCTGGCACCTCAGGCATCCTCTTTAAATATCCTGAGCAGGTCCTTGCCAGCCTTAAAGTTCAGACCAAAGTGGATCAAGTATCCTATTACCATGAGCCTCTCACAGCCTCCCAGGAAGGCTAATGGACACAAGAGTTAACTGCATAGGAGAAACAGCGCTGCCACCAAAACTTAAGGAATGCCTTTGGGCTGAAATACCCAAACCTTTGTGGCTTCTGTCCAAGCTCTGATGGCATCAGCTTACTTATGAAAACTGGATTAGTTCTCTCGCTGCCCTCTTGATGACTTCAACCTTTACCTATCCTCTCCCAGACTCACACCTCTGCCTGCACTAGCTTTTCTTCTGAGGACTCCAAAGCAGGGAAGAGCCTTCCCTACGCATCCCACTTATTCCTCTATATAATGCGCACCTTTTTCTCCACGTCCCAGGAATACTCAAGCTTTGCCTAAGGACAAGGTCAAGTATCACTACATACATCAGTACAGCTAAATTAAAAAATGACAACTGTAGCCAGGCGGTGGTGGCACGCGCCTTTAATCCCAGCATTCTAGGCAGAGGCAAGTGAATCTGTGAGTTGGAGGCCAGCATGGTCTGTCTACAAGAGCTAGATCCAGGACAGCCTCCAAAGCTCCAGAGAAACCCTGTCTCGGAAAAAAAAAAAAAAATGACAACTACCAAACTTGCAGTGACAATTTGTGCCTCAAAAACCCAGGTTTATCCACCCTTTGCTGATAAGCCAATTAAAACAGCCACATTAATAGAAAAGAAAAGCAGAAAGACACTGATTTAATGTTATCCCCATAAGACACAAAGAAATCCAGTGGCCCTCCAAATCCATCTTCAGAAAGCTGCCCACCACTGAGCCATCTTTGTCTGTGTTAGGTGTAACTTTGCAGGAATATAGCCCAAGCTTTTCTTCTCCCAGCATGAAATTCCTGTTTTAATCATCTGATAGCTAAAATACCTCCTTAGTATATATATATTCATTTCTGCCAGTAGGTTTTTCTACCCCCCAATACTGGTGAGGATGCAGAAAAACTGACCACATTCCTAGCAGGAATGTGAAATGGTGAGCACCTTTGGAAAGCTGTCTGGGGATGCCTCAAAAGGTTAAAACATGGGATGGCTCAGTTGCAAAATGCTTGCAAGCCCAATTCTAGGTGTCTTACCCAAGACCCATGTGGTCAAACCAAGACTGACACCCCCCCCCCAAAAAAATCCATAGCAGCTTTTGTAAAAGCCTCAAACTGGCAACAACCCAGATAGCATTCAATGGTTGGATTCAACTACGATACACCCATACTGTGAAAAAGTATCCAGCAATTCAGAGGAATATACTGTTGGTACATGTACCAACTTGGATAACTATTAAATGAACGTTGAGTGAAAAAGTGCATCTCCATAAGTTACACTCTATTAATCTGTATATGCCATGCTTTTGCAATGACAAGTATTAAAAGTAGACACAGGTCAGAAATCACTGGGGATTAAAAGTGGAGGGCATGATTAGAATCAAGTAACAGAGAGGAGAAGTCTTAGTGGTGATCAAACAATCCTCTATCTTTGCTAGAGGTAGTGGTTATACAAATCTACCTATGATAAAACGCTAGAGAACTAACCACCCTTTCCACCAATGTCAAATTCCTACTTCTGACTTTGACCTATAATTATGTGCTATGCAGCCACTGGGAAAAACTGAATTTCTGTACAATCTTTGTAATTTCCTAGAAATTTGAAATTATTGCAAAATATTAATTTTTAAAAAACCACTAAGTTAGAATATCAAATCTTAAATCCTAGCACTTGGGAGGCAGAGGCAGGTGAATCTCTGAATCAGAGGCCAGCTTGGTCCAGATGAGTTCCAGGACAGCCAGAGCTACACAGAGAAACCTTGTCTCGAAAACCAAAAACAAAAAAACAAAAAACAAAAACAACTCTTTATTGAAATCTCCCAGTTTCAAGGACAGTTAGTTCTGCTAAACGCTCAGAGGAACCAAGCCCACTGGTGCCACGTGGTCTGACTGCCAAATTACACCCGTGATTCCATTTTCTTTCTTTCCACCAGGACTGTTGCTTTGCAAGTCACAACAAAACCAGTGAGTTTGGAAAAAATAATTTAAATTAAAAACAAAACAGGAAGGTACAAGAAAAAGAGAAGTACTTTACCAGCAAGCAAAGGATGACTAGTAACCTGTGAGTGGACAGAAAGGAAATGACAGGGCAGAAATCAGCGGGAAATTTACTCAAATGACCTTGTAAAATCAACATGAGTTGGAGGGAAGGAAAAAAAAAACTGTTAGTGGAACCTGTGGGGTTTCTGGCTATTTTAAAGCTGCCCCAAAAGGAGCTGGGGTGACTGAGTGGGAGAGCGCTCAAGCATAAAATACCTACGGGTTGATTCCCCAGCACATCAAAAATAAATTACCCCAACAAATCAACTTCCCTTGCCAATTCAAACCAACGGACTAGACAAGTCAGGAGACGAATATCTATCCTTCTACAGGGCAGAAAGGAAGCAAGTGAAACAGCCACTCCTCCAGAGGCCCCATTTCTGAAGCACTGCCAATAACTACAAAGCACTGAAACAAAAAGGTATTGAGCTCACCCAGGCATGGCTGCCTAGACTGCTCTAAAATCTAAGCCTACAATGCAACTCCCTATTCAAGAAGCATTGATAATGCAGAAACAAAGCAACTTTGCCAGTGTGGCCTTAAAAACAAGTACAATGTATCCATACAAAAGAAAAAGAGATTGTAAACCCCAGACACAGTCTATTTCAAACTGTCCCTGGGTCATCATATCCAAGAGTTTAGAGAATCTGATTGGTGGCTATGAGACCTACATTCTAGTCCCAGTTCTACCACAACCTTGAGAGTTCAGTGACTTTCAACGTGTCATCTATTATCATACTGCTAGTTCAATAACCTTGAACATCTCCATCCGTAAAACTGGACTAGCCAATCATTTCAAGGCTCAAGGCTAAATTGTGTTAAGTAAAATTTGACTTGGTGCAAAGGGAGAAAAAACTGTTTCCTCCATTCTTACCCCCAACCAGAGTTAATTCCTTAACTGTAAGAGGAGAACTGCAATTATGGGAAGGTGAACAACACAATGTCCCACTGTCTTTCAGCAGCTGCACGCATCTGGAAGGGCCAATCTCAAGCCAGTGGAGGTACAAGTTATTTTAAACCTTTTAAGCTAGTTGCAGGCCAACATCTACCTTCTTAGTTTTACGGGGTTAATCTCATTTCCTTGGAGCACCATGAAGAGCTAGAACCTGCCCTTTAACCCGAGGGTGGCTGGGATCTCTACTCCATCGGGATTACAAAGGTCTGTCCCATTTGAGACAACATGAGTGCTTTGTATGAGCACTGGGTTCTGGTTATCTGCACAGCAAGAAAGGGTCACCTGCCAAGTAATATTGGCTACGACGAAATATGTGGCTGTACAGTTCTCTCACTCCTAGCTGGAGAGGTAGGCTAGCCTCTGCTCCCTTACACGTGTGATAATATCTAAAAGATGCCCTCATTCGAACTGGCCCAAATTGTGAAAGGGACCAGGATTACGTCATTCACACACTGCCAATCAATCAACTGCTTCCAAAAAAAGTCAAGCCGGCAGCAGTCACTGTGATTATCGATGGCCCTTCAAAATTACCATCCTTGAGTCCTATAGCTACAGGAACAGCCGAGTTCATCAATTACGTATCTCATCATCATCCTTCACTCCTGAAAACACATTATAAATTAATAAAGGCAGAAAGGTGTAAGTCCCATACACGCTAGTAAATTCTGTCAGGTAAGGGAGAAGCCAACTTGATAAATGACTAGGGATCCACGTGGGCCGACTAAGAAAAGAGTGCCATGTGCGTGGAGCCTTCCTCACTTTAACTAACATCCTGCTTCTCTAGCCACCCCTGAGGGTGAGGTTAGAAGCCTCCAACTCTGGGCGGCCACACCCTGTATGTGTCACAACCCTGATGCAAACCCCAAGCAAGGCCAGGAGTCCAACTGCAAGGTAGGGCAGCAGAGGCCTGTTATATAAGCTGTACAGAGCTTCACCCAGTGGGCCTCACCTTCCCACCCACAATTCTTTGGGGAGAGAGACCTCCACTCCTGAGCATTTCAAGCAACATCCTCTGGGGAAGAAATCTTTTTGTACCGGGACCAATGAAACGTGGGCGGTTTCAAATTCGTCAGAAATGGTCCAAAGACCGTGGGGGAAGGGAAATTAGCTAAATGACCTTTCAAGGTCCCTCCACTGGGGCCTAGAGATTTACAGGAGAAGTATTAGGTCCCGTCTCGTTACAGGAGATGAAGCTGCATTTCAGAAATGGGAAAAGGATTGACTCCTGGGAATCTGAACCCTTTCTCGGTGGGATCCACTCCCCAAAGGACACTATTGGTCCCTTTTTATGCTAGAAGCAGTTAGGAAGCATCAAACCCGGACAGTATCTGCCCCAACGGGGTGAGATGGACACCCCTGCTCTGCTAACCCAGGATCCCCGAGACCCAGCTGAAAACTAAGCACAACTTAGGGTGCACGGGAAAGCGTGCTTGCCAAGGCCAGCTAGGCTGTGCTAGAGCCCGAGGGCGTGAGAGCGGCAGTACAAGATTACCTCATCACGACCCGCTTTCCCTTCACGTCCAGTTTGTCCAAAGTCAGCTTGTTAGAAAGCGACATTTTGGCAACGCGGGAGGATCAAGAGGCTCGGTCCTGAGGAAGAGGAGACCACCGCGGCGGACGTGCGCTTTTGAAGCGTGCAGAACGCCGGGTTGCGGGAGGACCAGAGGGCGCCCGCCCCGCCCCTGGCTCCGCCTCTGAGCCTGCCCATGGATCCGCCCCTTCCCGGCGCTGCTCCCAGTGTACAAGCAGCAAAGCTACTATTGGTCGCCGCCCAGAAGGCCGGTCCGCTTCCATTGCTCCGAGGCTCTGTCCATCTACAAGGGACTGGTGGGACGTGCGACTTCCATTTGTCACGTCCAGCACGACGCGAGCAGCAGGGGGAACCTTCCTGACGTGGGGCGGAGTAGAAGCGTTCGCGACGGGGCCCGAAAGAAGGGAGCGGATGGCGCCTCAGGGTGGGCGTGGAATGTGTGTTGGGCCAGAGGCCACTAGTGCAGCCGTAGTGCCCAGCAGCGCATGCTCCGGACTGCCTTGGAAAAAGCAGCACCCCCACCCGGTGGAATTCCCAGGGGTCTTTTCAAAATCTTTGCAAATGCCATTTCCTTTATCTTCTGCTTTCACAGCTCCCAAATGGAATGCTACATAAGGCCTTACTTAGTAATGGAAACCTTTCAGAAGTCAAAAAAGGACCAGGTCCTCCTCGCCCTTTTATAATAAAAAGTACAGTGTAATTGCCGTGGTTACTTTATTCATTGTAATGGCGAATACGTTCAGCATGTGTCATGTTAACTAACAATGCTCATAAAACGTCTAAGTACATTCTGTTATTAAGGATAACAGATAAAGTAACTGATGGACAAAGGTTTAATGTCTTACGTACGCATGATAACAGAGCTTCTAAGTGATTATTTCAATCCTGGGCCACTGGGACTTAAACTCCTTTGTGAGTGTAGCCTAGTGGTAAAGTGCATGTGATCCGATCTCCAGCACTGGAGGAAAGTCTAAATCTCTACTGACACTAATTTGGACTAAGGATGCAAGGTAAACGCTTGCCTACGGTTCGACACGAGGCAGCTACTTAATGAAAGGCACGTGAGAAATGTAAGCCCTTCCCCCCCCTCATTCCTCTGGTTCTCATTTCCACCTCTCCCACTAGCTGACACCCAGGAGAAACTGACCAGACCACCTCTGGAAATTACTATATTATGGGAAGTAACTCAGACAATAGCATGTGTTTTCTCTCATATGCATGTGTTATATAAGCATATATATATATATGTAGATACAGGTCCACAAAGGGGGAAGGGGGGTTAAGAGAATGGGGAGGGGGGGTACAAAAAAAGGTAACAAAAGACATGTGACATGGAAGAGACAAAGAACTTCGGGCAACTGAGGAATGCTGAGAGCCTCCAATTGGTTATTCAATACTAAGTGGTCTGAAATTGTATACAATACATACAAGTAACTTTATACAGAGTGAGATGGTTTAATTACATATTTAGGTACAGAGAGAGAAAGAGAGAGAGAGAGAGAGAGAGAGAGAGAGAGAGAGAGAGAGAGAGAGAGAGAGAGAGAGAGAGAGAGAGAGAGAGAGAGAGAGTGAAAGAGGGAG